AAGGTTGTAGTTCTTGTATGATGTTAAACAAGGTTGTAGTTCTTGTATCATGTTAAACAAGGTTGTAGTTCTTGTATGATGTTAAACAAGGTTGTAGTTCTTGTATGATGTTAAACAAGGTTGTAGTTCTTGTATCATGTTAAACAAGGTTGTAGTTCTTGTATGATGTTAAACAAGGTTGTAGTTCTTGTATGATGTTAAACAAGGTTGTAGTTCTTGTATGATGTTAAACAAGGTTGTAGTTCTTGTATCATGTTAAACAAGGTTGTAGTTCTTGTATGATGTTAAACAAGGTTGTAGTTCTTGTATGATGTTAAACAAGGTTGTAGTTCTTGTATCATGTTAAACAAGGTTGTAGTTCTTGTATGATGTTAAACAAGGTTGTAGTTCTTGTATGATGTTAAACAAGGTTGTAGTTCTTGTATGATGTTAAACAAGGTTGTAGTTCTTGTATCATGTTAAACAAGGTTGTAGTTCTTGTATGATGTTAAACAAAGGTTGTAGTTCTTGTATGATGTTTAAACAAGGTTGTAGTTCTTGTATGATGTTAAACAAGGTTGTAGTTCTTGTATATGCTTAAACAAGGTTGTAGTTCTTGTATCATGTTAAACAAGGTTGTAGTTCTTGTATCATGTTAAACAAGGTTGTAGTTCTTGTATCATGTTAAACAAGGTTGTAGTTCTTGTATCATGTTAAACAAGGTTGTAGTTCTTGTATCATGTTAAACAAGGTTGTAGTTCTTGTATGATGTTAAACAAGGTTGTAGTTCTTGTATGATGTTAAACAAGGTTGTAGTTCTTGTATCGATGTTAAACAAGGTTGTAGTTCTTGTATCATGTTAAACAAGGTTGTAGTTCTTGTATCATGTTAAACAAGGTTGTAGTTCTTGTATCATGTTAAACAAGGTTGTAGTTCTTGTATCATGTTAAACAAGGTTGTAGTTCTTGTATGATGTTAAACAAGGTTGTAGTTCTGTATGATGTTAAACAAGGTTGTAGTTCTTGTATCATGTTAAACAAGGTTGTAGTTCTTGTATGATGTTAAACAAGGTTGTAGTTCTTGTATATGTTAAACAAGGTTGTAGTTCTTGTATCATGTTAAACAAGGTTGTAGTTCTTGTATGATGTTAAACAAGGTTGTAGTTCTTGTATGATGTTAAACAAGGTTGTAGTTCTTGTATGATGTTAAACAAGGTTGTAGTTCTTGTATGATGTTAAACAAGGTTGTAGTTCTTGTATGATGTTAAACAAGGTTGTAGTTCTTGTATCATGTTAAACAAGGTTGTAGTTCTTGTATATGTTAAACAAGGTTGTAGTTCTTGTATGATGTTAAACAAGGTTGTAGTTCTTGTATGATGTTAAACAAGGTTGTAGTTCTTGTATCATGTTTAAACAAGGTTGTAGTTCTTGTATGATGTTAAACAAGGTTGTAGTTCTTGTATGATGTTAAACAAGGTTGTAGTTCTTGTATATGTTAAACAAGGTTGTAGCTTCTTGTATCGATGTTAAACAAGGTTGTAGTTCTTTGTATATGTTAAACAAGGTTGTAGTTCTTGTATGATGTTAAACAAGGTTGTAGTTCTTGTATCATGTTAAACAAGGTTGTAGTTCTTGTATCATGTTAAACAAGGTTGTAGTTCTTGTATATGTTAAACAAGGTTGTAGTTCTTGTATGATGTTAAACAAGGTTGTAGTTCTTGTATGATGTTAAACAAGGTTGTAGTTCTTGTATCATGTTAAACAAGGTTGTAGTTCTTGTATCATGTTAAACAAGGTTGTAGTTCTTGTATGATGTTAAACAAGGTTGTAGTTCTTGTATGATGTTAAACAAGGTTGTAGTTCTTGTATGATGTTAAACAAGGTTGTAGTTCTTGTATATGTTAAACAAGGTTGTAGTTCTTGTATGATGTTAAACAAGGTTGTAGTTTTGTATGATGTTAAACAAGGTTGTAGTTCTTGTATGATGTTAAACAAGGTTGTAGTTCTTGTATGATGTTAAACAAGGTTGTAGTTCTTGTATCATGTTAAACAAGGTTGTAGTTCTTGTATGATGTTAAACAAGGTTGTAGTTCTTGTATATGTTAAACAAGGTTGTAGTTCTTGTATGATGTTAAACAAGGTTGTAGTTCTTGTATATGTTAAACAAGGTTGTAGTTCTTGTATATGTTAAACAAGGTTGTAGTTCTTGTATATGTTAAACAAGGTTGTAGTTCTTGTATCATGTTAAACAAGGTTGTAGTTCTTGTATCATGTTAAACAAGGTTGTAGTTCTTGTATCATGTTAAACAAGGTTGTAGTTCTTGTATATGTTAAACAAGGTTGTAGTTCTTGTATGATGTTAAACAAGGTGTAGTTCTTGTATGATGTTAAACAAGGTGTAGTTCTTGTATGATGTTAAACAAGGTTGTAGTTCTTGTATGATGTTAAACAAGGTCGTAGTTCTTGTATGATGTTAAACAAGGTCGTAGTTCTTGTATCATGTTAAACAAGGTTGTAGTTCTTGTATGATGTTAAACAAGGTTGTAGTTCTTGTATGATGTTTAAACAAGGGTTGTAGTTCTTGTATATGTTAAACAAGGTTGTAGTTCTTGTATATGTTAAACAAGGTTGTAGTTCTTGTATGATGTTAAACAAGGTTGTAGTTCTTGTATGATGTTTAAACAAGGTTGTAGTTCTTGTATGATGTTAAAACAAGGTTGTAGTTCTTGTATCGATGTTAAACAAGGTTGTAGTTCTTGTATCATGTTAAACAAGGTTGTAGTTCTTGTTGATGTTAAACAAGGTTGTAGTTCTTGTATGATGTTAAACAAGGTTGTAGTTCTTGTATGATGTTAAACAAGGTTGTAGTTCTTGTATGATGTTAAACAAGGTTGTAGTTCTTGTATGATGTTAAACAAGGTTGTAGTTCTTGTATGAGTTTAAACAAGGTTGTAGTTCTTGTATGATGTTAAACAAGGTTGTAGTTCTTGTATGATGTTAAACAAGGTTGTAGTTCTTGTATGATGTTAAACAAGGTTGTAGTTCTTGTATGATGTTAAACAAGGTTGTAGTTCTTGTATGATGTTAAACAAGGTTGTAGTTCTTGTATGATGTTAAACAAGGTTGTAGTTCTTGTATATGTTACAGTTTGTTCTTGTTGATGTAAACAAGGTTGTAGTTCTTGTATGATGTTAAACAAGGTTGTAGTTCTTGTATGATGTTAAACAAGGTTGTAGTTCTTGTATGATGTTAAACAAGGTTGTAGTTCTTGTATGATGTTAAACAAGGTTGTAGTTCTTGTATCATGTTAAACAAGGTTGTAGTTCTTGTATCATGTTAAACAAGGTTGTAGTTCTTGTATGATGTTAAACAAGGTTGTAGTTCTTGTATGATGTTAAACAAGGTTGTAGTTCTGTATGATGTTAAACAAGTTGTAGTCTTGTATATGTTAAACAAGGTTGTATCGTTTCTTTGTATCGATGTTAAACAAGGTTGTAGTTCTTGTATCATGTTAAACAAGGTTGTAGTTCTTGTATCATGTTAAACAAGGTTGTAGTTCTTGTATCATGTTAAACAAGGTTGTAGTTCTTGTATCATGTTAAACAAGGTTGTAGTTCTTGTATCATGTTAAACAAGGTTGTAGTTCTTGTATGATGTTAAACAAGGTTGTAGTTCTTGTATCATGTTAAACAAGGTTGTAGTTCTTGTATGATGTAGGTTGCAGATGTCGTATGTTATGTTGCAGAGTCAAGTATACATTATGATCGTCTGGTTCAACACTTTGCTTCCTCTTTATACCCATTAAGGTCAATATTTAATAAACTGCTGTAATAAATTAAGGTTATGTAAATTATGCAACATTTAGTGGGTTGTGCAACAGAGACATTTCGCTTTATTTCAAAATCTGCTTATTATTATTGATTGTGCCCCTTAAGGGAGGTTCCTTGACGCTGGTGAGGGGCTCTTGATCTAGGGAATTGGATCTGTGCTCCAGTTCCCTGAATTAAGCCTGAATACCTTCCACATCCCCCCCCCCAAAGACGCTGTATAATCCATATGGGTTCAGCGCTCCCCTTTGATAATAATAATAAAATAATAATAATAATAATAATAATAATAATAATAATAATAATAATTCATTGTAAGCCATAAACTGCCGACTAATTTAGCCGAGCAATTTAAGTAAATGTTGACTTCTATTTGTTTGTGTTGTCTAACGATAACATGGAATTCAATTAATCATGTTCCTGGGGCTAGACTTAATAATGCCTTCCCCCAGCAACTTAAACCAGTCTTAAATACAGATTCTGTTGCCCTCAAATATATATGGGAAAATAATGACCTTAACTTTTAAAAGGGTGGAGGGGTAAGCCAGTGGAAGGCCTCAGTCAGCTGACCAAAAGCTCCAGCTGTGGGTCATCATATGGATAAGACCCGCGTCAGGAAACTCTTGTCCTGTTTCCTGACAAATCTATCTCAGCCTAACCTAAGTAAAAGAACATATTGTCGATAATTCTATCAACATTAATAATAACCTAGCCTATATTAGCCTAACTTAACCTAACGAAAACTGAGTGCATTCTATCATGGAATACGCTAATATGTTTCTCAAACAACATTACTCTGTACTACTCTCTAATTTCACTATACTTCAGTAATGGTATCTGTGCTCGGGGATCTACGAGAGCAAATCATCTAAAACCTGTTGTTACCCAACAGAAATGATCCACTAGAATAATCACCAGCTCAGATCCAGATAGTACACACAAACCTTTAATATTCAGAGGTCTTAGCTTACTCATTTTACAAAGCATTCACACACACACACACGGATATATATATAATATATATAATTATATATATATATATATATATATATATATATATATATATATATATATATATATAAATATATATATATATAAATATATATATATATATATATATATATATATATATATATATATATATATATATATATATATATATTACATATATATATTTCTTTTATGTGTATCTCAGGTTCGTGATGCAGGGAGTCAGAGAGTGGTGGCGGAGGTGTCATCTGCTACGCCCACCTTTACTGTGGGCGGCCTGGCACCTGGGCGGGACTACTTAGTGTTTGTCACCGCTGCCAACACCAAGGGTCACTCCTCTCCGTACCTCATCCATGGCTTCGCTCTCAAAGTGGCAGAGAATAAGATAAGTGAGTGTTTAAGCAATTATTTCCAGCTAGCGGTGTGTGTGTGTGTGTGTGTGTGTGTGTGTGTGTGTGTGTGTGTGTGTGTGTGTGTGTGTGTGTGTGTGTGTGTGTGTATGTATGTGCGTGTGTGTGTGTGTATGTATGTGCGTGTGTGTGTGTGTATGTGTGTGTGTGTGTGTGTGTGTGTGTGTGTGTGTGTGTGTGTGTGTGTGTGTGTGTGTGTGTGTGTGTGTGTGTGTGTGTTCGGGTGTGTACTTTCCTATTTGAAGTTGCTGGGGTCGAGTCACTGGTGTGGCCTTGCAGCTTGGGGTACCATGCTAGTGGCGCACCTCAGAGGCATCTCGATTTTCCTTTTATATTTTGTTAGGTGAGGGGGGGGGGGTAGGCTCGACCCGGGTGCTGGGTCCTCGAGTACTGGTCATACATTTTTAATAAAAATGCGATTTAAAGGCGTATTTCTCTAGTTACCTGAAAACATATTAATATAAGATGAAAAAAAATTACTTTGTGAATACACCAGTACAGTGACTGGGCAGTTGTACACAGTAAAAACCTACAAACGGGATTTTTTAATATTTTTTTTCGCTGCCTACCAATGCAATTCCTGGTTGATAATGTTGAATATCTCTAGCGACTGCGGTTGTTTTAGTTCCTCCCTGATGTTATTCAGTGCTACTATCATCCTCAGTTCCTCCCTGATGTTATCCAGTGCTACTATCATCCTCAGTTCCTCCCTGATGTTATCCAGTGCTACTATCATCCTCAGTTCCTCCTTGATGTTATTCAGTGCTACTATCATCCTCAGTTCCTCCCTGATGTTATCCAGTGCTACTATCATCCTCAGTTCCTTCCTGATGTTATTCAGTGCTACTATCATCCTCAGTTCCTCCCTGATGTTATCCAGTGCTACTATCATCCTCAGTTCCTTCCTGATGTTATTCAGTGCTACTATCATCCTCAGTTCCTTCCTGATGTTATCCAGTGTTACTATCATCCTCAGTTCCTTCCTGATGTTATTCAGTGCTACTATCATCCTCAGTTCCTTCCTGATGTTATCCAGTGTTACTATCATCCTCAGTTCCTTCCTGATGTTATTCAGTGCTACTATCATCCTCAGTTCCATCCTGATGTTATCCAGTGCTACTATCATCCTCAGTTCCTCCCTGATGTTATTCAGTGCTACTATCATCCTCAGTTCCTCCCTGATGTTATCCAGTGCTACTATCATCCTCAGTTCCTCCCTGATGTTATCCAGTGCTACTATCATCCTCAGTTCCTCCTTGATGTTATTCAGTGCTACTATCATCCTCAGTTCCTCCCTGATGTTATCCAGTGCTACTATCATCCTCAGTTCCTTCCTGATGTTATTCAGTGCTACTATCATCCTCAGTTCCTTCCTGATGTTATTCAGTGCTACTATCATCCTCAGTTCCTCCCTGATGTTATCCAGTGCTACTATCATCCTCAGTTCCTCCCTGATGTTATCCAGTGCTACTATCATCCTCAGTTCCTCCTTGATGTTATTCAGTGCTACTATCATCCTCAGTTCCTTCCTGATGTTATTCAGTGCTACTATCATCCTCAGTTCCTCCCTGATGTTATTCAGTGCTACTATCATCCTCAGTTCCTTCCTGATGTTATTCAGTGCTACTATCATCCTCAGTTCCTCCCTGATGTTATCCAGTGCTACTATCATCCTCAGTTCCTCCCTGATGTTATTCAGTGTTACTATCATCCTCAGTTCCTCCCTGATGTTATCCAGTGCTACTATCATCCTCAGTTCCTCCCTGATGTTATTCAGTGCTACTATCATCCTCAGTTCCTCCCTGATGTTATTCAGTGCTACTATCATCCTCAGTTCCTTCCTGATGTTATTCAGTGCTACTATCATCCTCAGTTCCTCCCTGATGTTATTCAGTGCTACTATCATCCTCAGTTCCTTCCTGATGTTATCCAGTGCTATTATCATCCTCAGTTCCTTCCTGATGTTATTCAGTGCTACTATCATCCTCAGTTCCTCCCTGATGTTATTCAGTGCTACTATCATCCTCAGTTCCTCCCTGATGTTATTCAGTGCTACTATCATCCTCAGTTCCTTCCTGATGTTATTCAGTGCTACTATCATCCTCAGTTCCTCCCTGATGTTATTCAGTGCTACTATCATCCTCAGTTCCTTCCTGATGTTATTCAGTGCTACTATCATCCTCAGTTTCCTCCCTGATGTTATTCAGTGCTACTATCATCCTCAGTTCCTTCCTGATGTTATCCAGTGCTATTATCATCCTCAGTTCCTTCCTGATGTTATTCAGTGCTACTATCATCCTCAGTTCCTCCCTGATGTTATTCAGTGCTACTATCATCCTCAGTTCCTCCCTGATGTTATTCAGTGCTACTATCATCCTCAGTTCCTTCCTGATGTTATTCAGTGCTACTATCATCCTCAGTTCCTCCCTGATGCTATCCAGTGCTACTATCATCCTCAGTTCCTCCCTAATGTTATTCAGTGCTACTATCATCCTCAGTTCCTTCCTGATGTTATCCAGTGCTACTATCATCCTCAGTTCCATCCTGATGTTATCCAGTGCTACTATCATCCTCAGTTCCTCCCTGATGTTATCCAGTGCTACTATCATCCTCAGTTCCTTCCTGATGTTATTCAGTGCTACTATCATCCTCAGTTCCTTCCTGATGTTATCCAGTGCTACTATCATCCTCAGTTCCATCCTGATGTTATCCAGTGCTACTATCATCCTCAGTTCCTCCCTGATGTTATCCAGTGCTACTATCATCCTCAGTTCCTTCCTGATGTTATCCAGTGCTACTATCATCCTCAGTTCCATCCTGATGTTATCCAGTGCTACTATTCATCCCTCAGTTCCTCCCTGATGTTATCCAGTGCTACTATCATCCTCAGTTCCTCCCTGATGTTATCCAGTGCTACTATCATCCTCAGTTCCTTCCTGATGTTATCCAGTGCTACTATCATCCTCAGTTCCTTCCTGATGTTATTCAGTGTTACTATCATCCTCAGTTCCTCCCTGATGTTATCCAGTGCTACTATCATCCTCAGTTCCTCCCTGATGTTATTCAGTGCTACTATCATCCTCAGTTCCTTCCTGATGTTATCCAGTGTTACTATCATCCTCAGTTCCTTCCTGATGTTATTCAGTGCTACTATCATCCTCAGTTCCTCCCTGATGTTATTCAGTGCTACTATCATCCTCAGTTCCTCCCTGATGTTATTCAGTGCTACTATCATCCTCAGTTCCTTCCTGATGTTATTCAGTGCTACTATCATCCTCAGTTCCTTCCTGATGTTATCCAGTGCTACTATCATCCTCAGTTCCTCCCTGATGTTATTCAGTGCTACTATCATCCTCAGTTCCTTCCTGATGTTATCCAGTGCTATTATCATCCTCAGTTCCTCCCTGATGTTATTCAGTGCTACTATCATCCTCAGTTCCTTCCTGATGTTATCCAGTGCTATTATCATCCTCAGTTCCTCCCTGATGTTATCCAGTGCTACTATCATCCTCAGTTCCTCCCTGATGTTATCCAGTGCTACTATCATCCTCAGTTCCTTCCTGATGTTATTCAGTGCTACTATCATCCTCAGTTCCTTCCTGATGTTATTCAGTGCTACTATCATCCTCAGTTCCTTCCTGATGTTAATCCAGTGCTATTATCATCCTCAGTTCCTCCCTGATGTTATCCAGTGCTACTATCATCCTCAGTTCCTTCCTGATGTTATTCAGTGCTACTATCATCCTCAGTTCCTTCCTGATGTTATCCAGTGCTATTATCATCCTCAGTTCCTCCCTGATGTTATCCAGTGCTACTATCATCCTCAGTTCCTTCCTGATGTTATCCAGTGCTACTATCATCCTCAGTTCCTTCCTGATGTTATTCAGTGCTACTATCATCCTCAGTTCCTTCCTGATGTTATTCTGTGCTACTATCATGCTGAGTTCCTCCCTGATGTTATCCAGTGCTACTATCATCCTCAGTTCCTTCCTGATGTTATTCAGTGCTACTATCATCCTCAGTTCCTTCCTGATGTTATTCAGTGCTACTATCATCCTCAGTTCCTCCACTTCCTCTCTGGCAATACTAAATTAACCTTCTATTATCTGCTGTCTAGATATGACGATACGTAAATACACTCTCTTTCAGTCCTCGATTTCTTCAAAAAAAAAAAAAAATATCCAATCGTCCAACTGAACCTCATTTTGTGTCATCCAAAACTCAGGTCAGATAAAAATTACAGTTTAATATATTTTCTCTGAAGTTGTTAAACCCTGAAAGGTCATAACCGCGCGATCAGTGTAACTTATGTCCTGAGAGAAATGTTTCTTTTCTGTTAATTTATTGCTGGGTTTTTTTCACAGCATCACATATTAAGCGCAATATCTAATTCGGAAGTTAGTAAAATTCTTGTAAAATAGTTATTCTTGAAAAATTTCTAAGGAAAGTGTTTTAATGTTGGGCAGTTTAAAAAAAAATTTAAATTAAAAAAAAAAAAACCCTTCTGGCAAGGGACAGGAAAGGGAGAGAATGATTGGTGAAATTTTTTTTTTTTTCGGGACCCGGGGGGGAAACGCAGGGGGAAATAAAAAAAAAAAATTATATATAAAATTTAATTTATTTTATAATTTTAAAAAAAATAATAATAATTAATAAGGTTTTGAATAGGTGGATTGGGAATGGCCCAAAAGGGGGGAAATAAGTTCCCCCAAACTTTTTGAAACCCCACAGGAATTAAATAATTTTTTTTTAATTATTTAAAAACAAAAAGGGGGGGTTGAAAAAAGGGAACATTAAAAAATGATACCATCCAACCATTCCCGAAGTTTTTAAGCCGTGTTTTTCGACACCGCCGGGAAAATTGTTTCATGTGTTTTTTTTCCCTTCTTTTAAAAAATTTAAATAATTTGACCTCTTGGGGGCCCCGGGGCGATTTCTTCCCCTAGGTCTTTTCACGTAAGTGTGAAAAAAAAGGGATTCCGGCCCCCAAAAAATAATGGGAAATTCCCAAACATCCCCAAAGGAGATACACAACCGGGCGGAAAAAATTTATGTTTGGGTTTTTTTTTTAAAGAGAGGAATTTCCCCCTCCGCTGGGTCCTTTTTCCCCCCCCCCCCCCGGGGAGTGGGGGGGGGAGGGAGGGGGGGAGACCCGGACGGGGGGAGAAAAACAAACCCGAAGGAAGGTAAAAAGAGGGGAAGAATGAGGAAAGGGAAGATATCAGAGGGAAAGGAGAGGAGAGAAAAGGAGAGAAAGAGGAGGGGGAAGGGAGGAGAGAGGGGAGGAGAGAGAGAGAGAGAGAGAGAGAGAAAATAAAGGTACAGTAGATAGCTGAAAACAAAGGGATAAGGTGGAGGAGAGAGAAAAACCCGGGGGATATCTTCTCAAAAAAACAATTATTTTCAATCAGTATTCTGAAGAGATTCTTTAAGCAATGACCCCCTTTAGGCGATAAACACCTTCTACCAACCATAATAACACATTTTACAAAAATCACAAACCCGTCACAAAAATAATCGGGGAAGGGGTGGGGGCTCAGAGGAGCGCTGAGTTGAAACCTAGTAAAAGACTTTCAGCCCTGGCGTCGGGGGTAAACACATTCCCCCATCACTCCAGGGATGACAAGCAAGAAATTGAACTGCTTGAATTCGGGCGTCAAAACGGGAGTCAATGCGTAAAATTCATGAGCGAAAATGAAACCATCCACGAGAATTCTTCGAACGCCTGAATGCCGGAAAATAGTCAAAATGGGGAAATCAGGGAGAGAGTCTCCATGCGATGTCAGAAGGGAGGGAGGAACGCGCGGAGATGTCTGACAAACTTTTTCTACTTTTGGAGGGTTCTGGGGTCAGCTACCCCCCCCTGCTGTCGACCTTGGAATGCAGGGTTCAAATTACCACCCCGCTGTCTACCTGTGGATGAGTAGGGTTCACCCACCACCCGTGTCTACCCGTGGGTGATGCAGGGTTCAACTACCCCCCTGCGTCTACCTTGGTGATGCTAGGGTTTTTAAAACCGCCCTGCTGTCTACCCGTGGATATGCAGGGTTCAAAACCGCCCCCCCGTCTACCCTTTATGATGCTAGGGTTCAACTACCCCCCTGGTCTACCGTGGAGATCAAAAATTCAATACCACCCTGCTTCTACCTGGGGATGATGCTAGGGTTCAACTAAACCCCCCTCTGTTACCTGTGTGATCTAAGGTTCAAAAAACCACCCCCGCTGTCTACCGTGGAGAGCTAGGGTGAACACCGCCCCTTTTCTACCTTGGGGATGATGCAAGGTTCAATACCACCCTGTGCTACCTGTTATAGCTAGGGTTTTAAACCCGCCCTCTGTTACCTGGGATGATGCTAAGGGGTTCAACTAACCCCCCTCTGTCTACCGTGGATGATGCTAGGGTTCAACTACCGCCCTGCGTCCCTTGGGATGATGTAAGGTTCAACTACCACCCTGCGTCTACCTGTGGATGATGCAGGGTTCAACACCCCCTGCGTCTACCGTGGGGGATCCAGGGGGTGATTTTAAAAAATTGGATTAAGACGACCACCAACCCAAAGAAATATTTTTTTCGTTAGGTTTTAGAATGATTTTTGCGAAAATTTTTCATACAAAATTTTCCCTTGCCATATCGGCAAAAGTGCGTTTCTATTAAGCCAAAAAAAGCAAGTTTTACTTTTTCAGCATTTATAAATTTTATATATATAAATATTATATATAAAATATAATATATAAATATAAATAATATTAAAATATAATATATATTCGTTTCCGAATATGTAAAAATGGTCAATTTGCAAAGCCATTTAAAATTAAATCTTTTCTGAAAATTTTTCTTATACGTTGAAAGATAATTTTTTTTTTCCATAAGGTTAATGTAAAAAATTTTTAATTTTGCAAAAGAAAATCTTAGAAAACTTTCCTAACCTTTTATAACAAGAAGAATTTTTTTGCCTAACCCAACTAAAATATTTTTTGATTTGTTTACAATAATTTAACAAACAAAAAGTGAAATAAAAAATTTTTTTTCGAGGGGTTTAGAAGATTTTGGCGAAATTATTGCATACACAAAAATTTTACTTGTCCTATATGGCAAGATGACGTTGCCATTTAACCAAGATCGCAAGTTCTGCCTATTCGGCAGACATTATAATATAATAATATATATATATATATAATATATATATAATATAATTA